TAATAATATTAATAATAATTATTCAATGAAAACAAGGGCGTAACAAACGGTCCGCCCGCATTCGAGGGAGGTCCAATCGAAAAAAAACGGGCGTCGTGAATGAAAAAAAATTTTTTTTTTTTTGTTTTTTTTTTTTATTAAAACAATCATCATCAGGTGAACGTACTTCCTCCATATTTATTTTTAATAATTAATAAATTTTTATGTAAAAAGTAAAAAAAAAAAAAAATCGATAAATCGTGATAATACGTAAACTCAAAACGAAACGAAAAAATTTACCGCAGCAAACCGAAAAAGTCTAACCCCTAACATTTTCATTATCATTATTATCAGTTCACGTTAAAAAAAAAAAAAAAAACATTTGCTACGATAAAGGAAAATAAAAATAAATGTGGAGATGGTAAATTTTATAGAAACGGATGTTAAAAAGGGCAAAAGGCAAAAAAGAACCGAATGGTGAACGTCACAAAACCCAAGGGTTAGATATGGTAATATTTTCTCTCATCCTCATCATTCCCCGATCATCCTATCAAATTTGCAAATTCTCTACTAAAATTCAAAAGTTTTAACACGAGTGAGAGAGAGAGATAGATACATAAAGAGAATGATAAAGAGAGGGAGAAAAAAAAAAGTTTTCTGGCCGTAAAGGGCATAAAATTTCAACACAAAAGAATTTTTTTTTTTTTTTTTAAATAGAAAAATCCATCGGATTAAATGTAAAAACAAACAAACAAACAACAAACGATTTTTTATTATAAAGTACAACAACCGTTAAAAATTTACTTATTAAATACAAAATCAAACGCCTACATTTTATTATTAATAATAATAATAATAAAACAAAAGAGAGTGAAAAAAAAATGAATATTTTAAAGGTCCGGTGCGGTTTTAACGATGCGAGGGGAGAAGGGAGGGGGACGACGACGACGAAATGATGATTTAAAAAATCAATCAATCAATCAATTGATAATCAATTATTTTATTATTATTATTAAGTAAGAAGGAAAAGAGTTTAAAAACCGCGTGTAAAAAAAAATTATTACGTAAATATTACGGTAATAAAATCGGTTTTATGTACATAAGTTTTTTTTTTAATAAATTTTTAATTCGACCGGTTTTAAATAAAATTTTTTTTTTTTTTAATAAATCGTACGCGAAACCGTAAACATACAAACAACAACAACAATTTATATAACAAACAACCGATTTCAAATGTTTTAACAAAAAAATAAACAATCGCGTATAACAAGAAAGTTGTTTTTTTTTTTTTTTAATCATTTACCGGAAATTATTATTAATATTATTATTATTATTATTATATATTATTAATATCCACCCACATAAAATCTCATTTTTTTTTTTTTTGAAAAACATTATTATTATGAATTTGCGGGAAAGGATAAAATAAATAAATAAAAATTTTTGTTTTTTGTTTTTGTTAACGTGATAAAAAGAAAATAAATGATAAAAGAGTGTGTGTGTGTGTGTGAGAGAGAGAGAGAAAGAGAGAGAGAGAGAGATAAAGGGTAGTGACCCTATTGGCCTGTGGTCATATAAAAGTCATCTTCACGCATGTTTATCGGCCACGAGCAAGTCATGCTCGAATGTTCATCGGCTATATAACAGTTATTATTATTATTATTATTATTATGGTTAAAGTTAAATCTAAGGATGACTGAATTTCTCTCTCTCTCTCTACATATATATACCGGAATGTGTTGTTGCACGCGTGTTTTTTTTTTTTTTTTTTAAATTCTTCTTCGTTTTACCACCCAATTAATCGGAACCATATTATTTTTATGTTCTTCCTTATGTTGTTCGATCGAAATTTCTTTTTTTTTTAACGTGACATTAGATAAAAATTTAATTCGAATCGATTCAATTTAAATATTTGATTTTAAATAGTTAAAAAAAAAAAAAATTTTTTTTGAAATGATGACGATGATGATGAAAAAGTTTGTTTTTCTTAACTGTAAATATTATAAAGGGTGTTTGTGAGAGAGAGAGAGAAAGAGAGTGAGAGTGAGAGGGAGAGAGTGGGGGGGGAGAGAAAGAGAGAGAGAAAACAGCCCCTGCGGTTTTTTGTTCCATATCCAAACACAAAGGCGTCAACGCGTTCTGATAACTGGATCACTTCTCCCATCCGCCTTTTGTACCGCCGTTACCGGATGATCTCGGAAGCTTTTCATCTTCTCATTTTTCCCTTTTTTTTTTTAAACTTTTCGTTTCTATTTTTCTCCTTCCACGTTTAATTTTTTTTGTTTTGTTTTGGTTTTTGTTTTTTTTTTTGTTCTTTCTTGTTTTCCAGTCACGCTCATCCGTTTTTCTTTTTTTCTTTTTTTTTTTTGTTCAACACTTTTTTCCCGATGAGAAAATTTTTTTTTTTTTTACTTTCTAACGAGATTTTTTTGAGTTTTCGTAATATTATCATTATTATTATTATCATTATTATTATTAACACTAACAGTAATTAAAATTATGTTTACGTTTATCTAATAATTCATACCGCATAAAATAAAAATAAAATTTTCTCTTTAAAAAAAAAAAAAAAAAACTGGAAAAAAGAAATTTTTTTTTTTACCGGTTCGACTTGCTTGACCAGTTTTTTTTTTTTTTTTATTGTTTTGCACTTAAGGCGGAAGAGCCACCCTCGCCATGTTTTTATAATCGATAATAATAATAATAATAATAATAATGGAAAACAAATCGTTTTGATATTATTTTATTGAATTTAAAAAAAATATTTTATCGTAATTTAATTTAATTTTTTTTTAAAAAATATTATTTATTATTATTAAAAATAAAAAAAAGATATGTATATATACATTAACCAGTTTTACCAACCGAAAAAAATAAAAAAAAACTCGTTAATTAATAATTTTTTTTTATTTTGAAAATAAAATTTATAGGAATTCGTACGTTGAAAAAAAACTTTACAGAATGAGATTTAATTTTTTTTTAAATAACACGGACGTAAATTTGTTTTTTACGCAAAACAAACAAATAAACAAATAAACAACCGAACAAACGATAATACAAACGAAAAGTATTAAAAAATAATAAATTTATTAATATTTTTATTAAAAAAAAAAAAGATTTTTAATTTTGATATTGAATCGAATCATTTGTCGGGTCGACGGTGGCGGTGCCGACGCCGGTGGTGGTGGCGGTAATGAAAACAATTTTCTAAAATGCTTTCCCGCCTCATTTAATGTTTTAAAAATGATTATGGAAAGTGCCATTTGGCACCACCAAATTAATTTTGTAATAATATATATATATATAATTTCATCTAAAAAAATCTTAAACGGAATTTAAAGAGGAATTAAAAAAGAGAGAGAGAGAGTGAGAGAGTGAGAGAGTGAGAGTGAGAAAGAAGAAATTATTAATCGTGGAATGGGATAGATACCATTTAAAAGGCTGCCATCTGACAGGAGGAGCCCGTATACATTAAACTAACCCATAATGACTAAGTGCCATCATCCAACCCTTTCTTTTTAAAAAATTGTTATGTAAAGGTTTTCTCTAATTAATTAATTAGTTAACCCATCCATTATAATTTAAATAAACAAGCCTCAAATTAGTGAAACAATCGTGACGTTTTTTTTTTTTTTTATTGCTTCTGGAAAATTCCATCCATCCATCCATCTACCCAAAACAAAAAAAAAAAACACGAAATTTTATATTGGGGAAAAGTTTTTACTCATACATTTTCGTAAACTATTGTGTTAAATTAAAAATGTTTAATTATCATCATCATCATCATCATTATCATTATTATCATCACTGTTTAGAATTAGAATTCGAAAAACAATTTTTTTTTTGTTTACGTTTAAGGTTTGTTTCATTTTAAATTAGGTTTTTCGCTCGTTTAGGTTCGTGTCATTAATTTTCTTTTGTTTTTGCTTTTTTTGTAAAAAAAATATGTAATCTTATATTTAGCTTATGTTTAATTAGGTTTATTTAATTTTATGTCATCACTCGTAAAATGTTTAGTCATTGATTTATTGCTAAAAGAAAAAAAAATGGCGTTTAAAGCTCTTTTGTAAACAGGAGTCCAAATTTTTTTTTTGTCTTATTACACGTTTAAAAATATTCTGGTCGTTTTTTTTTTCTTAGATAAATTATTATTATTATTATTATTATTATTATTATTATTATTATTAAGTAAACGTAAAAAAAAAAAATCGAGTCGAAGGTTATAAACGAATATTTTTTATTTTTTCACTTATGAAATATTATCATTATGAAAAAGGGTAATAAAAAAAAATTAAAAGTAATAAAGTAAGTTAAAAAAAAAAAAAAAATAATCGTAAAAAATAAAAGAATAATAATAATAAGTCAGTCATTCAGTCACATCGACGCGGGTAATTTATTGATAATGATTTTTATATAACGTATTTGGAAATTTTTTTTTTTTTTTTGACAAACCCTTTGATGGGTTGGTTATGATGAATTTTTAAATATTAACAGCTTTTAACCCTTTTGACACGACGACGATATATCGGATATGAAACGAGTTTGATATATATTAACATAAGTTAAACATTGATATATCAATTTATTATTATTATTATTATTATTATTAATTTATTTGTGAGTTTTATATTTCTTTTTTTTTTTTTTTAAATGAATAAAGCATTAAATTAATGCAGCATCATTTAAAAGAAAAACAAAAATTGCTGTTGCGCACGTTCGTCAATACTCACTAAAACCACGTTTTTGAAAATTAATAATAAAAAATGTTTTTTTTTGTTTTATTATTATTATCATAATGGTTATTAAAAAAAAAATTTTCAGATGCGTGCGGATTGTCTGACGTGGCACACATTGAAAGTCTTCAAGAAAAATCTCAATGCGCTTTAGAAGAATATTGCAGGACACAATATCCGAATCAACCTACGAGGTTTGGTAAACTTCTTCTTCGTCTTCCATCTTTGCGAACTGTCAGTTCTCAGGTCATAGAACAATTGTTTTTCGTACGGCTAGTCGGGAAGACACCCATCGAAACACTCATACGAGATATGTTACTCAGTGGCAGCAGCTTTAGTTGGCCGTATATGAGTAGCATGTGACACTCCGTTTGGCGGCAGTTGGCTTCCGCTTAATCTTTTCCTTCTTGAAACACGACAACAACAACTTTTTCTTTATTTTCCCTTTTGGTTAATTAATATTATTATTATTTTTAAAAAATTACTATTAATTGCAGTAATAATAATAATAGTGATTATTATTATTATTAAATTCGTTGTTAGACAAGCGAACGAAAAAAAAAAAATTGTACGAGTCTGAACAAATTTTTTATTATTGCTGAACAAATTTAATTTCATATTCTTTCCTATTTTTAAATTCTTACTTCGACAACAACAAACGATCGATTGTTTGTTTGTTTGTATGTGTCTTTACTTTCCAATGATTAGTTTTTCCAAAAAAAAAAAATTTTCCCACCTTTTTAGTACATCCCACATTGATAAAATCCCATCAAACAATTTTTATCCGGTGTTAAAAATTACATTTAGGGGTTGGGGAGGAGTTGTGGGGGGGGGTAATTACAGGTAATAAAAATTAATATATATATATATATATATATAAATAAACAAATAACCTCGGGTTTGTATAATTTAATAAATAAATATTTAAATAAATCCCGGTAATTTTAATAAATTTATTTAAATAAATAAATAAATAGGTTGCCATAATAAATAAAAAGATATGTTTAATTAATAATAATAATAATAATAATTGTAATATTTTTTTTCGAAAATTATTTTAATAGTACTCTATTATTATTATTATTATTATTAATTTGTTTTGAATATAAAAAAAATTAATAAAAATAAGAGAAAAAAAAACGGTGAAACCTGTAAATGAAATATTTTAATAATAATAAAAGTTATTTTATTTTCAAATTTCTTTGTTATTAATATATATATATAATATTATTATTATTATTATTATTATTATTATCGTGTATATATATATATATTATTAAATAAATAAAACAACCAATGAAATTTGATAATTTGATGAATGTATAAATTTATATAAATTAGATTAATAATAATTATTGTATATAAAAAAAAAATAATAAGTGCATAATAATAATAATACTGATGATGATGATTGCGTACATGCCCTTATGTAAGTGATAAATATAATAATAATAATAAAGATAAATGTGTAATAATAATAATAATAATTATATATATATACATATAAAAATATTTAAAATAAAGGATATGTTATGTATATGTGAGGAATTTTTTTTTTTTTCGTTTTTTTGTTTGTTTGTTTGTTTGTTCATCGATGAAGTAAATAATAATAATAATAATAATAATAATAATAATAATAATAATAATAATAATAATAATAATAATAATAATAATAATAATAATAATAATAAAATTAATGAAATATATATTAAAATAAATAATTTTTTTATCAGTGTCGTATTATACACACGCACACACACACACATACACGCACGGATATATATACATTGTTTGTTTTTTTTTTAATTTGTTTGTTTGTTTCTGATTTTTTTTTATATATATTCTCGACAACAAACACAACAACCGGTGAGATTTTTTTTGTTTGTTACGTTTTAATTTTTTATTAATTATTGTGTCATATTAAAAAAAAATTAATTAATTAATTAATTTCTTCTGCTTTTATTTTATTTTATTTTTAAAAACAAATCTTTTATTACTCCTTATACCAAAATTTAATAATATTAATTACTCTCTCTCTCTCTATTAAATAATATTCATTCGAATCTATTAAAAATATTATTATTATTATTACTAATACCGTTGACCGAAAGTTAATAATATATATTTAATAAAGATTGTATAAAATTATCACGGTAATAAAAAAAAAAAAAAACTTGTATTTTTTTTAACATGTACGCAATTTTCTTTTTTTTGTAAATAAATTATTACGTAATTAAAATAAAAATGATTGAAATTTTAATCCGAAAAAATCAATAAAAAATCGATAAGTTTTCTTTTAAATAATTAACAATAATAATAATAATGATGATGATGATGATAATGATATAAAATGTTACCAAATGATTTTAGGTAAATTTACGACAGATTAACTGAAAAAAAAAATTAGTTTTTAAGGGATGTTGTTTAAAAAAAAAACTTTGCTCCTCCACCTCCCCCTTTCCCTTCTTCCCTCCTGTACCTCCTCCAAGTTTTCCTCATTGATAAACCCCCCCCCCTGATCTTTGTTGTTATTCGGTTTTAATATTAAAAAAAAAAATTATTTTTAATGTGTGTGTGTCGTTTGTCCCTTTTGAAAATAAAATAAAATAAAAGCAATTGTACATAATAAATACATAATAATAATAAAAATAGTAATAATAATAATAATGATAGATAATAATTTACGTACCCCCGAGTGATAAAAAAAATTATAATTATTATTATTATAAATTATTTTTATCGTGTTTTTTTAAAAAATTGATTTAAATGTCAAATTTTTTTTCTTCTGGATTTTATTATTATTATTATTTTCTCTTTTTATTTGTTATTATTGATTTTTTTTTTGCGATCACGTGAAAAATATATCCATATATATATATCGATATATCGATTTATCGATTTTTTTTTTCTCGAATTATTACCCTGAATTATGAATTATGAAAAAACGAGTAGGAATAAAAAAATTTTTAGTTTTTTTGTTTTCAATTTTTATTATCATTATCATCATTAACTGTTTTTTTTTGTAAATTTTCATACGTCATTCGTAGCGTGAAGAAAGAAAGAGAGAGAGATAGAAAACATAAAAAATGTTATCAATCGTGTTATCGTGCTTAATTTTTTTTTTTTATTATTACGTAATCAGAAAAAGTTTCGTAAAATAATCAAAAAGGAAAAATTTTTTTTTTATTTTTAGATTAAAAAAAAAAAAAAACATAAACAGATGATGATGATGAATACGTAATAAAATTTGATTAACGCCCCCCCCCTTGTTTTTCTTATAATTTTTACCTAAAAAATAATAATAATGATAATAATAATGATGATGATATATTTAACATTAATAATAATATCGAATTTTAATGTTGTTATAGGAAGTTAATAATTTTTTTTTTGTGAAAATTATATTTCAAACGTGTTTTAATTTTAATTTCGAAGTTCAAAGTTCAAAAAAAAAAATTTTTTTATATAAAAATTCCGTATTTCGTGGTAATAGAAAGAGAGAGAGAGAGGGGGGGAGGAATGAGAGAGTTGTTACGAAAAATTTTTATTTAAACACGAAAATCAAGGAGGAAAGTTGTTATCCATCCATCCATCCCTCCATTTTTTTTTTGTGCGAAAAGAAAGTTTTTTTTTTAAATCAAACAAACAGGAAATGACGAAACGATGATAATTTACGCGGTAAAACGCGGGATTTTCAAAAAAAAAAAAAAATGTTTAAAAATTTTGTTGTTGTTAGTTTTTGTTAACAAACGACCACCCAGTCAAAAAAAAATCTCATCGTACTTGAAACAATTAATTATCACGTGCCCTTGTGTGTAAAGAACCATCTCTCTCTCTCTCTCTCTCTTTCTATGGAAATATAAATAAATAAATAAAATTTAAAAAACTTTCTTTTATTATTGTATACGACTCGGTAATGGATTCGTTACACGGCGTGAAGTGAAAAAAAAAAAAAAAATTTTTTTTTTTTTATATAAAACTTCACCTTCCTTAATTACGTCACAGTATGTATTTCTTTGCAAGTCATTTAAGTCAATAAAAAATTTAAAATCGAGAAATAATAATAATAAAAAAAAAACAGTCATAGAGTAATAAAAAACAGAAAGTTTTACGATAGAAAATGATTTTTAATAATTATTATTATTATTATCATTAATTAAGAAAAAAAAAATTTTTGGAGGATGTAAAATCAAGTCGTTAATAATTAACCTAAGGTAAGTAAAGAGTATAAACGCTTAAAGTAATTTTTTTCTTCTTTTTCTTTCCCTGTCGCTTTTATGTGTGAATGTGCGTGTGTGAGAGAGATAGAGAGAATACAAAAATCCGTTGTTGGTATTTTTTTTTCTCTCTCTCTCTCTATTAAATAACGTCAGCAAATAAAAAAAAAAGTTATATAAAGTTAATATTGATGTCGTCGTTTCGTATACCATCACATGATGGATTTTTTTTTTCTATTTAAAGTAATAAAAAAAAAAAAAAAAGAATCAATGCCAACTGGCATGTTTGAAACTTATGACGACATGCCAACGATTTACTGCAAATTGAATGTTTTATTTGAGGCACACGCACACTCACACTCACGCATTTTTCAATTTATTGTATTTTTGTTTTTTTTTTTTTGCGATGATATAACTCACACAAACCGATTTTGTATCTTTTCATATTCGTATAAAGAATACTACTTATCGTCCATTAGTAATAATCCTAATAATAATAATAATAATAATAATAATAATAATAATAATAATTACGCACGCGCGTGATAATATCCGAATAAATCTTTATTAACAATCAATTAAACTGATCAAAGTTATTAAAAAAAAAAAAATGAAAAATAACTTTTCATACATTTATGGTGGTAAAAAAACTTTAAACTTTAACGTATTATCATTATTATTAATGATAATAATAATAATAATTAATTAAAGGGAAATTTATTTATGAGTAATAAAAAAAAAATTTTTTAATTATTATTAATTTTATTGATTTTTTATAATTTTCCACGCGAGACGTAATGAGACGGACATTCACACGAGCATAAAAACGACCGTTTTTCTTTTTAAGGTACGATTGAACCGTAGCAAAAAAAAAAAAAAATTACGTAATGTACAACAACAAATGTTTTTGCTAAAAAAAAAAAAAAAAAATTTCTGGGAAGGTGACAAGAAATAATCCAACGCCCATCAGGTGGAATCGAACCACTCCGTCTCACGACGGCCACAGGTTTGAAGCCTGCGCCCCGGACCACCGAGGATCAAACGGGCACTTATGCGAATCCATTTTTCCATATTTAAAATCGAAATCACTTCATTAATACATCCGCGAAATGAAAATTTTTCTTTATTTTTTTTTTCCAATTCGATTTGAAAAAAATTTTTTCCCCCCATTTTTTTTTTACTTGATTCAATCTACGCCTTCAGACAATTTTATCGAAATAAATAAAATTATTAATAAACGCGCACGTACCCACGTAAATTAATTTTTTTTAAAAATGCGTTTATATATAAACTTTTAACTTAACAAAATCTCTTTAAAACTATACAATAACAATAATAATAACAATAAATAAATTAATTACATAACTTATTAATCAAATTTATGTAATTAATATACATAAGTACACATCATATCGTTTTTTTTTGTTAAATATTATAAATTTTCCATTTACAAACCGACAAATAAATAAAAAACACAAAAAACGTTTGAATGAATAGAAATGAAAATAATCGAATGGCATTTAACAAATAATAATAATAATAATTAAATAGAACTTTATGAAATTATAAATTTTCATTCCGGAAAATTTCAATAAATGTATCAATATTATTATCGAATGTTATAAATTTTATACGTAAAATGAGAAGAGACGACAAACACAACCAACCATTTTCTAAATAATTTATTATTATTATTTATTGCCTATAACAATTTAAATAGTTTTATATGCATTAATTGAAATAATAATAATAATAATAATAATAATAATGGCATTTTCTTACTATTACTAGGATAACGACATTTTCCTTTGCCAAACCTTAAACAATCAATTATCTTCGCGTTTTAAAGAAATCTATTGTGATGATATGTACAAAGAGGGAAAATTCTAAGAATTTTCCGAAAACAAAAGAAAGAAAGAAGGGTTTTATAATTTTATAAGAAATTTTCCTCCCCCTCCCCTTCCTAAACACACATTATCACAAACAAAGGAGAAACTGGACAATGGTCAAAAATTAAAATATAAATCATTTTAATATTTTATGTCGTCGTTTTCTGGAATTTTCTTTTTTTTTTTTTTTTTTTTTTGCAATTGTCTTGATTTACATTCGAGTTATTTTGCATTTTATAAAAAAAAAAAACATTCGACGAATTAATAATAATAATAATAATTTGAAAAAAACCGTTACCCTTAAAAAAAAAAAAGGAAAATGTAATTAAAACGTTTGAATTCAACCCCCCCCCCCCAAAAATTTGTTATGAATTTTAAGAGAATAGATAAAATTAGACAAAAGAATTTACCCCAATCGTATATAAACATGAAATTTCTATTTTCAAAAACCATTTTTCGCAAAGCAAACTATTTAATTTACAAAATGATTATTTCAAGTATGGAAAAAAAAAAAAAAAAGAAAAACCCCTAACGACGACATTAGTAAAAAAAAGAAAATTCAAGCAATAAACATCGGGAAAACATTTTATTCCCGTTTATTTATTTACTTTTTTTTTTTTTTTTTCTATATTCAATATTAAAACGATTAAAATAATGACATTTCACATTATTATTATTATTATTATTTCCTTTTTTTTGTGGTTGTAAAAATTTCCATTTAAAATTTACACCCCAACGTACAATTTAGGGAATATTTCTATTGAATGTGATTCGCATTGTAAAATAACATTACAAAACTAATGACCTTTGAAAAAACACAAATGATAAAAAATGAAAACTTTTACTAAACGAATTTAGTTTTTTCTTTTTTTTTTTTTCAAATGATAATGATAATAATTTTTATGAGAAAATTTAAAAAAATAATATCATCATTGATTTAAATATGGCAATGTAAACAAAAACCTTAAACCTATATTACCTTATTACTAAACAACCTTTTTACTAAAAACTAATTTTATTAATTTTATGTAAATGTTTTGTTATTAATTAAAAGATGTGTAATTTTAAATTAAACTCTTAAAATTAAATAACAAAAATTTTTTTAATAATGATAATGATTCTCGTTGGCTGCTAATTGAAAAAAAAAAAAACCGTTAAAAACGATGCCATTTTTGTTCATTAAACAAAAAAATTTTTTCTCCTTTTCTCCAATATTAATTAGCAGAAAAATTAAAAATTTGACTATTTTTAACGTACAATATTGGTTAGTTAAACTAATAATAATAATAAATAATAACAATTTTTTTTATTTACTTTTAAAAAATTCAAACTAACATCTGTTTTAACATTTGGCCCAACTCATTTATAAATATTAAGTAATATCATTATTAATATTTCTTTTTAAAGAATATGTTTGGATTTTAAATTAATATTTTAATACTAATCATTATTATTATTATTATTATACTTTTTTATTTTAACATTTCAATTCTTTAATAAAAAATTAACAACTTTAAAAAATTTTTTTTTTACATTCACACAAAGAAAACTCGATAATTTTAGAAAAAAATTATAAAATTTTGTACAATTTTCTTGTTTGATTTGTTTAAAAATATATTTTATTCACAGTAATTAATTGTAATTAACATCATTAATTAATAATTAACTGTTTTATGTAAAATTTTTATCTTTAAAATGATTCTGATCGAATAAAACATATATGGTTTTCTCTTTAAATTAATTCTCGTTTTTAAATGTTTACATATTGTTATTTACATAATAATGCATCTTTATGTTAATACCATATTATTTAATAACTTAAAACTAATATTAATAAAGCCATTTTTTTTTAAAGCTGAAGAAAATTATACTCATTGAGTTTTGATAATTATGATTATTTCCATGTTGATGTACAAATTAATTTGTGTGGTTTTCATGCTTCTTTCTTCATCGACAATATTAATACTGGTAAATATATCTGAAAAATAAATTTTTGGATTTTAATGCATGGTTAAAATTATTTTTTTACATAATAATAATTAAATATGTATGTTGATTCAGTCAACTTTTAAAAAAAAAGTGTTAATTTATAAATTATTTTTAAAAGAAAAAACGAAAAAACTATTAATTGCAATTTTTGTTGTAATTTAATTTCAGAATGTGTATTTTCGAAGATGTTTAACTGTTTAGATAGGATTACAAACTTAACTTCGAGTAATGTTTTTCTGGAACTGTATAATATAATAAAAAATAACAAGCTCAATTAAAAAATCAAGGATAATTTATAGGGGTAAGTAACTAATATACTACAGATTGTTAATTCAACAAGTTAAAACCAACAGCCGATAATTTTCATCCAAAATTATAATCATATGTGTGTATGTATATATGCATAAAGGTTTTTAAAAGGAGTTGAATTGTGTTCGATTAAAGCAGCAAAAACAAATAGTTCATAAGTTACATACTGAAAAATAATGTGACAAGTTTATTGAAAAACTGAAAATGTGTTGAGTAGTAAATTAATCTATAAAAATTAATTTTACAGATTGAAATACTTACTACATATGGATATTATTTGTATGTAGTATGATGGTTAGAGTATAATGAATAGTTGAATTTTTTTCATGATAATAATAATAATAGAATATTAAAATGCAATTCAAATATTATACATTTTAAACTCTATACATTATTATTATTCACGATAATACTAAGTGATAATAAAATATATATTATAATATAAAACATATTTATATTAATAAATAACCTTGAGAATCAAGTCGGCCATTTTTACCATAGAGTTAAAGAATACTTTAATGGTTCCTGGTTGGTTCGAGGTTTTCTAAGAAAGAATTTTTTTTTAGTTTTTTATTAAATATTTATTATAAATAAATTAAAAATTTATTTTAAAATTATATTTAAGTGATATTTAAAGTGTTTTCAATTTACGGGACTATTTTTTTCAAGCGAGTAATTTATTTTTACGTAATAAAAGTGTTTATTAAAAATGTTTAGTGAAAAATAAATTTATATCGTGGCACAAGAAAATTATTACAAAAGAGGTACAGTTACAAATTATTATAATATTTTTTTTTTTATTAATTTCCAAAAATAAAATCTACTGTAATTTTTTTAAATAATTTTATTAACGTTTGTAATATGTAGATAATAAATTTTTACTAAAAAATTTACTAAAATTTAGGTATGTCTAACTCTGTAACCGGTTGAAAAAATTTTTAATTCTTTAATTTTTTTTTTTATTTATTTTAAATTTTAAACTTTTTTATTACAAAAAGAAAGAAAGTAAAACATATCATTTTTCTTTATCTATATTATTTACAAAAAAAAAAATTATTGTTATGACAACTGTAATTTTTAATCACATAATAATAATAATAATAAAATTTATATATGTATAAAAAAAACGGTAAAAAATCTATCTAACTATCGACTCTATGGCTCAATTTTTTTTTTTTAAAACTACTTTTTAAAATTAAAACAAAATAATAATAATAATAATAATCAAAAATATTACACGTGTGTTATTTTAAAAATAAAAAAAAATGTAAATAAAATAACAAAAATAAAAATTTTTTTGTTTTATTTCTGTTGTTCAGATTGTTATGGTTGTTGTTGTTGTGGTCTTTGTTGTTGTTGTTGTGGTGGTTGTTGTTGTTGTGGTTGAGGTTGTTGTTGTGGTCTTTGTTGTTGTTGTTGTGGTTGTGGTTGTTGTTGTTGTTGTTGTTGTGGTTGTTGTTGTGGTTGTGGTTGTTGTTGTGGTTGTGGTTGTTGTTGTGGTTGTTGTTGTGGTTGTGGTTGTTGTTGTGGTTGTTGTTGTTGTTGTTCACTCACGGCTTCTTCTGGTACGGTAGGAATGCTTTTGCCTACTTGTTGTGTTTCCCCTTCCGGTGGTTCAAAACGTGGCTCCCTGCTTCTTGAATAATTCATAGAACTTAAAAATTTATGACTCATTGCAAGTAAAACATAATTAACAATAGGCGTTGTGATAAGTATGGCCAAAACTACTGTTTGCTTAACAGTTTTTAAATCTTGAACGTATGTATGTGCAGAGTCGTATATGTAAACTTCATTAAATTCAACTCCGTAGGGTAGTAGAGCCTAAAAAAAAAATAAATTTACAACCGACAATATCCGCCATTTTAATTTTTAAAATAACGATTTTTATTTCATATTTAAACGTATTTAAATTAATTAAATATAACTTAACAATTCAAACTTATGTTTAAGTACAAAATCAAAATATTATGCATATTTTTTTTTTTTTTTTTTTTTTTTTTAAATTAATAAAATAAATTTATTGTTATATTTTACTTGAAAAGTTCCCTTTGATAACCAAGCAATGCAAATGAAAAATTTTTCATTTTGAGTTGTTTTGAATCCTCTATCAAATAATGAAAAATAAGTAACTAATTCTTTTACCTAAAAGAAAATAATAATAATAATAAATTTTAATAAATAAATATATATTTTTCTAATACATTCACACACGAATATCATATCATTTTTTTAAAA